TGTCTACTAACTGAAAAGAGTCCTGCTATATCCAAGTTCTGTGAGGGAAAGATTATTTTCACAGACAGGTTTCAACTAAATCCCTTCAGTTATGGATGTTAAATTGTTTTTTTCTCTCACCACATCTAAACTTTGACTTCTGTTTCTTCATGCTCTTGGCTGAATTCTGTAATTCTAAGAAAGTTAGTTTGTAAATAGTGTAGTATTTAGATTGTTGAAAGCAGCTGTAACATAATTGCTTCCTAAGACTTGGCTATACATATTGTAGGATGTGATGTGCCCTGAATGATAACTGGAAATGTGTCGAATGTGTTGCCCCTGTTGTCTGGAGTTGAAAATGGTGGGTCTGTTTCTTACCTAGTGGTATCATATAATCCAGAAAATTAATATATTGCACGTTAATTGGAAAATTGATATACAGATAGATTTGGTTAATGATCCTACTGGAATTAAGGAACGGTCTTCTTTTTAAGCCACAATTCCTGCAAAGACTATATGTTATTTGAAAGCAGTAGAAAATAGGGACTTTGTTTTAAATCATAAATATGTCTTATTCTGAAAATAATGCAGAATCGACAGAATCCTCATCAAAATCAACAATCTGAAGGTAGAGAGATCATTTCATAGAGAAGCATCAGGTGTGGGGAATATTGCAGCTAAAACATTTCTAAAATCCCACATTTTTCTGTCCCTTTCCAAAAGAATTTCTACAATATGTTGATCATCATCATCATTATGATCTCAAATCTTAAATATGCCAGTACAACATGGAATTTTTCACAGATAGAATATAGCTTGCCAAGCATATATATAATGAAGTGCAAAGTGTTCTGTATCTGCCACGTATTTTTGTAGTCTCAGTCTGTTTTTTCCCCCCCCCAGTTTGCCATGTTCATATGTCTGGGGTTATTCATGTGATTTCTCAGAAAATTTGAGCTATGTTAAAAAAAAATGTACTGTATAATAGTACAGTAGTTAAATCAGGGTGGCTCAGCATTGATTTGGAATTAGAACGTTTTGAGCTGAATTTCCAGTTTATGTAGATATCTCCATGTAAATGTCCTATATCTGAAATAGAATCAACGGAAATCTACCACACTGTTACAATTAAAATGAACATCATATGGCAATGAGTGCGGATACTACTTTATAAATGAGGAATAATTGTCCAGGGATTTGACAGTCCTATTTGGAAATGTCAAAAACTGAACATGGACTATTTAAACTATGTAAAATGTCCTCTGTTATTAAACTATGGATTTATACATTGCAGTATTAGATATTCTGTAACTGCTGCAAAAATATATTTGGAGAAAATACAACTATGATTACATTTTACAAGTAGATCTGATTTCCAGCTTTTTTAAATCTCATATCTTAAATACACTGACTGGGAATTCTAAGAGTTTGAACCCCAATTACCTGTTAGTTTCTTAAACATACCATTATTTTAAAATGTTCCAGTTTCATTTAAATATTATTTTTAAACTTTGCAGTGACTGATACCATTTTGCCATCACTATATTTACAAAGAAAACAGTATGAGAATCAAAAGAAGCATTACATTATATACACTCTAACTTACAATTACTTCAGTGGAAAGTAAGCCTGGGAATTTTATAAGCAGAGTTTGCCCAGTCTACAGCCCAGCCCTTCCTTTTGGAAGCCAATGTATTGCCTGTGCAGTTAATAAATTAGAAAAGAAAATATCCATTATGGTACCTGTTTTTGTCATCAGAGGCAAAACCATTCTGTCAAGTCAATCTACCACAGCAAGGAATTCAGCCCTTACTTATAAGCTTCAGATTCAAAACTTCCTTCTGGAAGAAAATTACTTGCTCTCCAGAACATATCCCTTGTCAACAATTAAAAAGAGTTATTAAGTTTGGGGTAGCTTTCAATGTTCAAAATGCACACACAATGCACGGAGGGAAAACTCTACTCTGCTTCCTCTCTCTCAGTTTGTCTTTCCCTGTCTGGATAAATTGTGATAGTCTACGAGTTGCTGTAATTTGTTTCAAAGAATAAATTATGTGGCAATTTATTCTGAAGGACAATTGGGTGACTAATCTCCCACTATTCCTGTTCTGCAGCTGCACAAAAAAACCAATCAGGTGGGCTATTTTAACAGGGAAAGCATTTAAAAGAGCTAGCTGATAAAATATTTGTGAGCCTCTTGGCATGTGATAACATATTTTCCTGTATTCAAAAGACTTTAGCCAGCTGTAACATTTGATTTGATTTAGAAGCTTATTGCAGAACAGGATAAATGATGATATTAACTCCAGATCTAACTGTTGTCCTCCCCTCTTGTTCTTTTATGTGCATATAGGGACTGCTTGAATTCTAGGCACCACTCCATATCTTTAAACATTTAATACTAACAAGATGTAATGGACATGGAATTTCAGCAGATAGGCTCAAAGAGAGCTGCTTCTAAGAAACTAACTTTACTTGAAAGCATGTTCCATCAGAAGCTAAATAAATCAAAGCCCTAGCCTAATTGTGTAGTTTTATAGCATAATTTCTGGAATATTGCTCCCTTTTGAATAAGATTTAAATGCTTATCGATTTCTCTGGTTCCAGACAATACACGAAAAAAATAAGATCCCTAAGAAGAAGTAAGAGCTTAACAATTGGACATTAATTTAAAGTTGTTTATAGGTCACCAACACAAGTATATTCATAAAGCTACACTAACTCCCTGATAATTGGACTTAAGGCCAGAATTACATGGCAGATGTTTTATTCTGCTATGGCACAGTACTGCCTCCTAAAACATTTGATCCTATGCTGAGAAAATAGATGGAATTCATCTTTTGTTACCCAGAGAACCTCTCCCATGTAAAAGTGATTCTGGTTGCTTTTGCTTGACACAAAGTCAAGTTTTACAATGAATTAAAAATGCCCCGCCAATATTCCAGAAAACAGAATTTTCTGGTTTAAAAAAAAAAAAAATTATGAGCATGGAGGGAATTTGTTCTCCAGATGGGACCGAACTGTCCAATAGTGAAGGATAGGTATAACTACAATAGCAACTTACAGAAAATTTAGAGAAGAAGGTTGAACTTTTAAAAGGGTGAAAGAAAAATGATTTTATGAAGAAGAACATGTTTTTATGGCCATATGAAATTTAGTGAATTATTCAGTATTCTTGAATTTGGAAACGATAAACATTAGGGCAAGTTGTGAGTATCTGTAATAACAATGGTTATACACTATAGTTAATACCTATTTTTGTTATATCATTTTGGATACAAAGTCCAGTTATTTGTTTTTAAAGAGATTTACAAAAAGCAACATTTCAGTAAAAACCTATATTGGTGGTAAATGTAACATGCAGCAAAAATAACAAGTCAAAAGAATGTTAAAACCATGTTATTTTGGTAAACCATTTTTGTGTTTTTCAAAAAGGCTAATAAGAACTAACTTAGCCCTGATCTCTTAAATAAGATTCTTAAATAAAGGTAGCCTGAAATAAAATCAGATTAAAGAAGATTGCCTTGAGGATAATCTGAAGTTTGCTAATATTAGGTAAATACTACCAGGCAGATCAAGCATATTTTTCATAGGAATCCTGAATATTGGGATATGTAGAGTAAAAATAATGGGATATTCCTATGATGTGGTGTTTTAAAAACATTTTTTTATCGTGCCTTTATTATTATTTTTGTTATATATAAATAACTGACGGCAGAAAATCTACCTTCTTCTCTTCCTGTCCCTATTTTCTCCACAACAACAACCTTATGAGAAAAAGTGACTGTCTTAAATTACCCAGCCAGCTTTCAGGTGGGAACAGAACTCCCAGTCTCCTGTTTTCTAGCTTGTTGCTTTAAGACCAGGGGTGTCAAACTCAAGGCCCAGGGGCCAGATTTGGCCCGTGGGATGCTTAAATCTGGCCCACAAGGCCGCCCTGGAAATAGGGAAGGACCGGCCTGTGGTGCTTCTGTCAGTGAAAATGCGGTCCCCCCGAGCTACGTTTTTTGTTGGCAGACGGTTGCAGAAGGCCGTCCCAGCCAAAAATGGAGGTCAGGAGCCCATTTTCTCTGGCAGAGCACTCGGGCCACAGGCACCCCCAACACAAGTGATGTCAAGCTGGCCATGCTCTGCCTGGCCATGCCCACCCCCAGGTCAAACATAACCCTGATGTGGCCCTCAATGAAATCAAGTTTGACAGCCCTCCACTAGACCAAACCAAGAATTAGCTGCCTAATTTTTTTTTAATTTGATTTATATGCCGCCCTTCTCTGGAGACTCAAACTGCGTCCTCAATTTACCTACCTTAGAAAGGATGGAAGGCTGAGTCAACCTTGAGCCTGGTGAGATTCGAGCTTACAGTAATTGCAGACAGCTGGTGTTAATCACAATGCTATCAGTCTGCTGAGCCACCAGGCCCTTAATTTGATTCAAAACTCAAGAATGTGTGGCATGTCTTCTGGCATTTCTTCTTTTTAGAAATTAAACATTACAATTTTATAATTAAACATAAGTTGATTTCCTTATTTAATAAGACTGCAGCAAAATTGATGACATATACTTAGCTGAATGTAAATGCTATATTGACAGCACAGAAAACTCTAGGCTGCAAATTATTTGATCGTTTATTACATTCCAATCAAATACTATTTGGATTGTTTCTTACATACCAATCAAATACTGGTTTTTTATCTGATAGTAGCGGAATTGTTTCCACTACAAATGGTCTGATTCTGGGAATAGATTGATTTTAAATTTATATAGAGTTAAACCTCTAGTGTACTGAGAAACTTTGCTTGCCACAATTGTTACAAAGAATTGAAGCGCGCAAACTCAATTCCATCTTTCGGGTTCTAATTTGTCTTGGACTCCCAAAACATGTAATAAATAATTTACAGTCTAGTCAGGGCTATATTAATATTGTGGGCAACCCCTGGATAAGATTTTAATTATATTTGCAGTTGATTTGATTCCATTTGGCTTTTCCATCACCTGCCTTTTCATTCATGCTTGTTGGACAGGACAAGTTTACCGTTTCTGCACACTGGAAGGGACATGGCTGATGGAGGAGAATTCCACCAATCCATGGAGGAACATTTCGGCGTGTATGGTTCCTGATGAAGTAAGCAAACAATATTTGTTTGACAAATCTATTGCCCTAATGCTACATTCTTTGCTCTTGGTGCTGTGGAAGTGTCTTAAAATAAAGTTTTCTATTAACAATAGCAGCATGGAATCTTCCATTAGTTCTTATAGAATGATTTGGATTGTTTTGCAATTTTAGTGGGATTGAAAACAGGGAGATGTGACATAATATTCTTGATTGTTATGTCCTTTGGGTTTGTAATACTGATAATTGCAATGAAACTAAAGTTAGAACTTGAAAAACTTTTAAGGAAACCATTTGAGTATGTGATACAGAGGGAGGAAGATAATACATTGACAAAATTATATAATTTCTCCTGGTTTCATCTTCCAGGAAGATAATGAAAAAGGGAAATTAAATTCCATCTGGTGACATTTCTCTATGTCTTACTGCATTTCATTTTTTAATTTAATTGTATCTGCCTTTATTATTTTTACAAATAACTAAGGCTTTGATATTTTATTTTATAGTATGTCATTTGTTTTAATTCTGTGTCATCCCGAATTGCATGTTGAATGGGAAAGTATATCATTTGTTTGAAAAAAAATAACTCAATACTTGAGAAGTAATTGGAATGCAGTGAGACATCATCCGTTTCATGCCTTTTGGATTATTTGCTAATAATAGTACTTGGCTAAAGTAAAGGTGGCTGAGCGGTGGCTCAGTGGCTAAGACGCTGAGCTTGTCGATCGAAAGGTCGGCAATTCAGTGGTTCGAATCCCTAGTGCCGCATAATGGGGTAAGCTCCCGTTACTTGTCCCAGCTTCTGCCAACCTAGCAGTTCAAAAGCACATAAAAAATGCAAGTAGAAAAATAGGGACCACCTTTGGTGGGAAGGTAACAGCGTTCCATGCGCCTTTGGTGTTTAGTCATGCTGGCCACATGACCATGGAGACATCTTCAAACAGCACTGGCTCTTCGGCTTTGAAACGGAGATGAGCAACACCCCCTAGAATTGGGAACGACTAGCACATATGTGCGAGGGAAACCTTTACCTTTTTAAAGTAACTAAAGAAATTCCTTGCTATAGAAATGAATACTTATTCTTAGTGAGCTCATACTTATTCTTAGTGAGCTCATTGATAGGCAAAAATTGCAGAATTTCTATGCTAAAACAGCAGTTAAAAACTAGTATTCTCTTCTGTAGAATAATTCTGAACAAGAATTATGAGAGCTGAAGTGCACCAGAGACAATCAGGAGAAGACCAGATTAAGACTGGCTATAGAATTGAATGAACAAATGAATGAATGAATGAAAATGATTGAGTAAATAAATAAAAAATGAAATATATAATTTAGAGCACTGGAATTTTATGGAAATCATTTTAATGGAAGATCTAGTAGATATTGGGTTATTGAAAATGAAATACTTCTTAGAATATATATACATATAAAAATATCTTTAGCATCTGCAAGCAGATTATTTTCTCACTGATCTTAACAAACTTGTAAAATGAAGCTTTGTTACCTATGTTATACTTGGGAACTGATGCTGGAGTCACCTTATAATCCAGGAGAAATAACAAAGTTTGCTCACTTCTTAGCATACTGTGAACATGGTACATCCCTAGCCTACTATGAATTGCAGCAGGCAAAAAAACCAATACAATCCCTGTTTGTATATACAGAGGCATAGAATCAAAATCACGTGAAGAATTAGTACCACTTTATAAAGCCTTAGTAAGGCCACACCTGGAATACTGCATCCAATTTTGGTCACCACATTACAAAAAAAGATGTTGAGACTTTGGAAAAAGTGCAGAGAAGAGCAACTAGTATGATTAAAGTCCCGGAGAAAAAAACATATGAAGAACAGTTGCAGAAACTGAGTATGGCTAGTCTAGAAAAAAGAAAGATTAGGGGTGACATGATAGCAGCTCTCCAGTATCTGAGAGCTCCCACAAAGAGGAGGGGCTCAACTTATTTTCCAAAGCACCAGAAGGCAAGACAAGAAACAATGGATGGAAACTAATCAAGGAGAGAAACAACCTGGAATTAAAGAGAAACTTCCTAACACTGAGAACAATCAACCAATGGAACAGCTTGCCTTTAGAAGTTGTGGATGCTTCATTTTAAGGAGAGACTGGACAGCCACTTATCTCAAATTGTATAGGGTCTCCCTTTCGGCTCTGTTCTGATTGATTGTTTGAATATTATGTAGTAGATATGTTTGATCAGCTTTTTCTGTGTTTCCAGTAAAATTTCTGTCTGCTCCATTGAAGCAAACTATGACACAACAAAACAGGAAAAGTCCAGTAATTTTATTTCAGCTGTTTCTGTATTACTTTTTCAGGACTCAACAGGAAGACGGTTGTTATTCCTTTCTGTTATCTACACCACTGGATATGCTCTTTCTTTCTCAGCCCTTGTTATAGCAACTGGCATCCTCCTCTGGTTCAGGTAAGCCACATGGCTAAAAAGAATGAATTTTAGCATATGTATTTATCTGGTACTCGATGCTTAACTTCAAAAAATAAATGTAACGATGAATAATTAGGAGTAGCATAAAATTAAACGTCATATGACAATTGGGAAATTTTCAGAGTATGGAATTAAAGAGAAGTGTATAATAAGAAGCGAAATACAGTTTGTCTTGAGTGGATATGCGGGAAAGGAAAAAAGCTGCAAAAAAGCAAATAAACATTGCTTTTAAATTGGACACAGCTAAACTGGTATGAATATTCTGTTTCATAAATTGGCAGAACATTGGTTTTGTTAGAGGTAGAACAGAAGAACTTTTTTTCAACAGACTATTGTTCCTCTACTTCATCTGCTTTTAAATATGGTTTGTTATAAATTGGTAGAAATAAGGAGAAGGGGTTCCAAAATAAAGTACTGCTGCTCTAATGATGACAGGTTTAGTCACTGAATTAAGTTTTTCTTTTTGACATGCTGAAATTTATGTTCTTTTAACTTGATGCTCATAATGAATTTTCATTTTTGCCTATTGGGATGCCAGAAGTGAAATCACGCTCCACTTATTCCTACTGTGTGCATGCAAGTCTTTCTTAAGTGCTATATCAGTAATAGTCCTCTTTCAATTGCCTTTCAAACAATTGCTGGTAAATAGCATGCTTTCTCTTGATGGGAATGGATGCTTCTGTCACAATCTCCTGCAGAATGTGCAGTGCACAGTTAAACTAAGCATGTTTTACACAATGGGTTTTTAAATCTTTACCTACGGGACTTAAAACTCAATTTTAAATCTTTGTTTTTAAACCTTTTTTCTCTGAATACTATAGAAAATGGTACTCCAATAATAGTTTTGTATATTTTTTAGTATTAGTAGTTTGCTTTCCATTTCAGAAATGAGAGCAACCCACAAATGTATTTTTAACTCTACAGTGTAACTATCTGATGTACACACTTCAGTTTTGAACAGAGCTCCCTTGGTACCTCACTTGACAGTCATTATAGCCTACATGTTTTCAAGTGAATTAAGCATCATAATTATATTTACAGGCATCTACATTGTACCAGGAACTACATTCACTTGAACCTTTTTACTTCATTTATCCTACGTGCTGTGTCCATCTTTATTAAGGACTCCATGCTCACGTGGATGTACAAGACAGCCCCACGTCAACAACAGTGGGAGAGTGTAATTTCCTACCAGGTATGATAAGGCTAAACATATTTTCCTAAACAGAAGTATGTGATTGCAATATATTTGCATTAAGGTGTGCATTTCCTTTTGGGGGAAAGCTTGTTAGATTTACATATGAGTATAGATGAAAGTACTTAAAATAGAAACCTCTTTCAGTTCACTTGAGGATAAGATTTCTTCTTCGCTTCAATTTTCTTTTCTTTTTTTATACTTCAGAAGTCCAAAAGCAACTGTAAGTGCTTATATCTTTCTTAAAATGGTAAATCTTGATACCATGTCCAAAAACTCTGATTTTTAATCAGTATCCTAACAAATACGATTAGAAATATCCTTTGAAAAAGATATCATTTTCCTCATAATAAAAACATTGAAATACTACATAATACTGTCTAGCCCTATTCCCGTTCTATACAAATAAACCCACTTTTGTCAGAGAGAGGAACCAGGATATAAGATGCAATTGGGAATGTAGTCACTAACATTTTCAGAGGAAATGGCAGTTCTTATTTTTATTAAAAGTTTTATTCTTGAACAATGGCTTACATTCTGAGAATAATAAACACAGAGAAACAGATAGAAGGAGAATGCATTGCTCTTCCAAAATCTGTTCAGAATATAATGAGGCATAAGCGCTGCAGTGTTGAAAAAAAGGAGTTTATATACTTTGGCAGAGACAAAGTTTTGCCTTCACAAGGCATCTCTGCATCATTTTCTGGCAGCTTCTATTGCCACAACCCAGGTTACTCAACTGAGGCTTTTATATTGAGCATAAGGGAAGCTGCCTTTTGGGCAGAATAGAAATGTCCCCTTGGACATAGATGAAAACTTTATAATGCTTCAAGTCAGCTAAGAAATACAGTAGTTTAAATAGGCATGCTAAAGGGCTGTATAGTGAAGGAATATTTGCTACTGAATTCAATTATTTTTTAGCCTGCTGTTGACAGTCTCCAAAGGTTGCATTGTTATCAAATTTTTGAGGGCATGGTGGCATTGTGGTTTCATGGGCACTTTACATTTTTCCTGGTCTGCGGCACCTAAAGTATTTACTCAAATCTTTGCCCTCTCAGGAGTCACTCAGCTGCCGCTTGATCTTTGTGATGATGCAATATTGTGTGACTGCCAACTATTATTGGCTACTGGTGGAAGGAATGTACCTATATACTCTACTAGCCCTCTCAGTATTTTCAGAGCAGAGAATCTTTCGACTTTACCTTTGTGTTGGCTGGGGTAAGTAGTCTTTATGCCTCTTTTCTAAATATGGTATTTCTTGGTTTAGTATTTTAGGAGATGTGAACTGAGAAAATACTGTATATATTTATTACAAAGAAATATAGATTTTTTAAAAATCCACTTTGTCTGTTTTTACACTTTCAATAAGAACATGCTCAGAAATAATGCAGAGGCCTTTCTGAATTCTCTAGCACAATGATCATTTGCTTTACTTTTAATGCTAACATTACAGGTAGTCCTCGACTTACAACAGTTCATTTAGTGACCTTTCGAAGTTACAACGGCACTGAAAAAAGTGATTTATGACCATTTTTCACACTTGCAGCATCCCGATGGTCATGTGATTTACATCCAACTGCTTGACAACTGGTTCACAGTTATGACGATTGCAGTGTCCCGGGATCATGTGATCATATTTTGTGATCTTCTGACAAGCAAAGTCAATGGGGAAGCCAGATTCACTTAATAACCATGTTAATAATTTAACAACTGCAGTGATTCGCTTAACAAATGTGGCAAGAAAAGTTATAAAATGGGGCAAAATTCAATAAATTTCTCACTTAGCAACATAAATTCTGGGCTCAATTATGTCTGTAAGTCGAGGATTACCTGTACTAACATCTGTGGATAATAATGAATGAGCCAAAATAATGTCCTTACTTGTAGGACATTGATTTAATATCATGCCTTTATTATTGTTACAAATAACTCAAGGTAATGAACTTATCCAACACACCTCCCTTCTCATATTCTCCTCTCAAGAACAACACTGTGAGGTGAGTTGGGCTGAGAGAAAATGATGACCCAGAGTCACCCAGCTGGCTTTCATGACTAAGACAGGACTAGAATTCACCATGTCCCACTTTCTAGCCTGGTGCCTTAAACTGGACCAAACTGTCTCTTACATGAGCTGTGTATTTACTTTCAAAGAGAGAAGACATCTTTCTCTTTCTACTTGATGTTGGTCCTAGGGTTTACTAGCATAAAACCATGTGTTATTTTTTCTTCATTAACCTTCCTTCCTGTGGTGTAATTCTCTATTTCATGGCCGAGAGGGGTTTTTTTTTTGTTATGTTTACTACCATGTTCCCTAATGTAATCATAAGGCAAATCTTTTAAGATAATATATGATGTTTCATTGTAAATATACATTATTCGGTAGCCTGTCATTTCATTAATCAAATCATTTTTAAACAGTGACATATTTCTGCACAGGTGCAGAATATACAAGACAAACGTCCCAATATGTTTTGGATTGTAGAATCACTGTAGATCCCTAGTTTAATGCAGCCTCTAGCCTGTATTGTGTTAAATGCCAGTGGGGGTAAAATATTTAAATACATCTTGAATGGGTTTGATGGGGCTTTTTCTCTTCCACAGATTTACATCCCTATGTGAACATTCTAAATAAGTGCACTGTAAAATTCATATAAATGATCACATGCATATTATTTATGTGACCCGAGTACACATGATGTATGGAGGATGAATATATTATGTTCTGTCCCAACCAATAATCAATGAAGTATTCATAAGAAAATATATTGGGCTGTTCTAGTAAAGTTCCATAGATCTCATAACAACCTACTTACTGTAAATTATTTAAATTTATAGAAAGCAAAAACATGAAAAATGGTGAGCCCTATACTAAAGTTATTGAATAGTTTTCTAAGCAAGTTGAAATTGAAGGTTTTATTGTTTTATTTTTATTGTTTAGTAGAAACCCAACTCCATTACAAAAATCATAAAAGGCTGACCTGAAATATTTCTGATTGCAGATTATATTTAGCAATACTTGAGTTCCATGGTTGTCATCCAGTAGGTTAACTATATACAGTACGTTCTGAACAGAGGCTGTCTGATGCCTGTTATGAGCTGAAAATAGAACACTAAATGAAGCAAAAGGGGTTGTATAATTGTTTAGAACAAAGAACCCAAAATAAACTTCGTATACAAGGAGTTCTGAATCATGCACAATTACCCTGCTGTGATCAATACACCTTTGGGGTACTGAACGTACTATAGTTATCATCTATTTTCTTTATTGAGGTGATAACTATAGTAAGACATACATTTTTAAAACCCATTTTATAGGCATAAATGAAGATAAGGGGGCAACTAGTTAAACAAAAATAAGAGTTTGTCCCTTCCTCTTGTGTATGTAATAATTCAGTCTAACGTCTGATTTCTATAAGGAAATATATAAAGTGAGATTCCCTGTCTTCCAACTATTTAAATTGCCCAAGACCACCAGTGTGCCGTTTTGCAGCAAACCCAAGGCCCTAAAGAGCAAAAGTCGCTAAATGATATTTGAACACTTTACTTTAATGGCATTCCATTCTCTGTTTTTATTTTCCTTTTTTTCCCTTTAGAAAATCATGCTCATTTTATTCTCAGCCTGTCAGAGATTTCTTTCTCCAGGATTAGAAGCATGATCTTTTTGCAGTAAAGGAAACTGAATTATGGGTAATTCTTCTTGACTTGGACTTATTACTTAACAACCATTTATAGTTATGACAGCATCTGAAACAGTGCTTTACAACCAACTAAGCAATTCCAGCCAATGTTATATGTCACATACACACCCATGGCCATATAATCACATTTTGGGTGCTGTTCACACTTATGACTGGTTGCCAATCACCCTATTATTAAATAGATAATATTTTCAAAAACTTATTTCTGCTAATACTATATAGCACCCTGGAGTTTTGTATATAATTTAATTCACTTCATGTTAAAGGAAACATTATGTGTAATTCTGCTTATGAAAGAATTGGTAAGCTCTTACTTTTATAATGCAAAATCCTAGCTTTAATTTAATAAATAAGATGTACACAATTTTATTTCTCTACAAAACAATCTTGAAGGCTACTAAGACACATCCACGCACAGCAACTGTATAGATAGATTTAACAAAGCACTGTTCCCAAGGCTCTCCCGCTGGTACTGAGTGTTTAGTAATATGAAATATCAAGACAATGAGATGAAAGATAAATCTTAAAGCCCAGACAGACAGTCACATAATTTAATTTTGGATTCAAGGCACATTTGAAATAATTTCCTACAAGGAGTGGAAAGGAAAACTCAGAGGAGTTTCTCTTTTTGTGTTGGTAAAAACTTGCTAATGACAAACTGTCCTTCATTTGAATGTTAACAGATAACTGAAAATGGGTATTAGCTTACTATGATGTTTAGTATAATAAATATGAAATGGGATGTGCATTTTCTTTCAGTAAAAAGGGGTAAATTATACATTTCAAATAAAAGGAAAAATACATATTTCAAATAGAACATACTTTGTTTTGAAAACCAATTATAGATTATATTCCTTCAAAATGTATTTGAAGAGATTCTTAGCTAATAAGAGTATGAAATTACTTCAGAAAAATAAAAAATTGTAGAGGACCTCTGTTGCATAGAATACAAAATAATAATTATAACATTTTAAAGCTCAAATAGGAAAAGGAATGAAGAGAGAAGTTGAAAATAAGTGATTCATGTAGTCACTTTAATGTAGTTATACATATGGGTATATAATTTATATTCACCAAACATTAACTAAACTGCTTTTAAAACAAGTTTTGAACAGCTTTTTATTCTATTGTTAGTCATGTTTTCATAGAATCAACAAAATCAAGAAAGAAACAACTTTTGGAACTGTTCTACAATTATTTATGAATAATTGGGAAGCCTCTTAATTCTGATTCTCTATAAATAGACAATATGTATTACAATATCAATAATATTTTTAAAAAAGCTTTTCTCGTTTTTGGAATTTTCCATTGCTCCTTGATTTTCATTTCACCAACATTTTCTTTGACCTTGAGTAATTTGTTCTAATGTTAGTAGCCTGTGTAGTTCCTTTCTCTTGGAGACATTAATGTGGCACATATTTATACCATTCTGTATTTCATATTAAACTGTTATGCATTCTTTTCTTTTACTTAAATTAAAACTTTACATAGTGATAATATGTTCTTAGACTCCACAGCCCCATCCTATTTTTAATATGATTAGCAAGTATTGATTATTTTATAGCAATTATGCTTTTGTTATGCAATTCTGGAACCTCTCAACTGATAATATCTTGCATCCATCAGAACTCAATAGCCGGGCCATGTTTTTCCAACATTATGGTTACCTTCAAAAAGGGAAATTGACTCTGACCCAGTCAAATGTAGATTACAATTCAGTATTTAAGACCATAAAAGTCTACATAGGGAACAAAACTTTCATCTACAAAGAGTTCCCAAAGGATCTCTCTCTACTGGTTCACAAGGCAACAGGGTGGCAGATGAGACTTGGCATTAATAAATCAGATTAGTTCACATTAGGGCAGATACTTACAACTCCTTGCAACCATACTGATGTGTTCAGAATTGCCACTAACTACTCAAAAAAAAGATGCAATTACTGTTGCAAAACAACTCTGAAGACATTAACCCAGCATGTGTCTGCAAGAAAGTAGGGAAAGATAATGATAGGAATTAGTAAATGGCTTAAAATTAAAAACCATTGTGCTAATAGTGTTATGTCAGTCTATTGTGAACATGTGTACCTCTGAATCAGTGATATATGTCTTGCATCACACAAAGGCTATTTTTCCTCCACCACACACATGCTGTCCATGCGCACGCACACACACACACATACACACACACACACTCACACAAACACACACAGGCTCATATCCATTCATTCATTCCTCCATTCATTGAAAAAGCTGCAATATTTTTCTTAACAATTTAAGTCGATGTTTGTTTAGCAGTTTTCATTAACCATTGATGTTCTCTCATACATTTACACTTTCTAATTTATCAGTTGACTAATTCTATTATACGTAGCTTGGGGTTCTTGCAATTCTGCTATAAAAATATTGTTAATAAAATCTAATTATCTTACATGCCATTTACAGCAGTCTATAGCTTTTAAAATGTTGACCTTAATTTTTTAGTGGAAAATAAATGAATGCTAGGTTATTGGTTAAGCACAAA